TTGAGTATTTCTCTCATATGTATCTGTATTAACGTTCTTATTACGGTCAGCCAGACAGTTTTGTATGTATAGATTTATAGAATCATAGATCATAGACCGATATTTGCAGTAAAATAAGCATTAAAATAAATTTCATGAAAAGAAAACTCAAATTACATTTGTCTTGTGCACAAATATCTGATGACGTTTTCATAATCTTATGCTTATCCATTTTTCTATTTTACGTGTCCTATTTGTGTTCTAAAGAAGACAAATTAAAAAAAAAAAATGTAATGACGTCCTTTTTATTACGAGTGAGATGTTTTTTAGTTATATTTGGGAGGGGCTCGATTTATGTGCTTGACTGGCTCAAGATCACCATGAAAAAATGTTTGGCCAAAAGATACTTCAGAATTCACGTGGTCGTGTTTGGATAGGGCTTTAAATGAAAAAGAACCAACTTTTGTTGGTTCCCCAACGAAAAGACCTTTTATCTTGTGAATCTGGTCAATTGAAAATTGCCAAGACACCCTTTACTTTTCTTGATATTTCAATGTATGGCCAAATTCTTGCATGTCCATTGTTGTTGCCACTTGTCACAAAAGAGCTTGGGTTTTAGGTTTTGTTTTGTCAGAATTTGAGCAGCCAAAAGTTTGAGATTTTTATCTGAAGTTTTCTGCCCTCGTTTGCAATGAAGTGGAAATGTTGTGGTTTACATACCAAACAAAACAAGTAGGAGCCCCCTGTATCAGGACATTGTTTTGGGTGTAGAGGGAAAAAACTCTTTAAAAAGACGTTTGATTTATAATTTCAGAATTATAATTTAAAATTATTTTTAATTTATATATATTTTTTATGAGAGAAAATATTATAATAAATTATGAACTATAATCTGAATCATGACACAGATCCTTACTCCGAACACACCCTTATTCATTATTGCTCCTTTTCATGCTTTGTCAGTTTATGAATTATTTTAACTTTATCCTAGTCAATATAGCATCAAGTTTTGGTTCTGTTGCTTTCATGTAAATATATATTTTTGTTTTTTTTTCCTTCTTTAAATATTTTTTATTTTTGGATTGACAATTGAATACTAAACTTTTAACCAAAAACACATCACATTCCAAATGTAAAAAGAAAAGAAAAGGGAAAGATCTACTCGATAATTAAAGTCGTTGTTATTGTTATTATCGTCGCTTTCCTTTTTTTTTTTTTTTTGACAAATCATGAAATTAAAGTGAAATTCGCTCATGGTAAAAATAGAGGAAAAAGTTCAATTTAGTTATTTAGCAAAAACATTCAATTTAGTTTTATAGAATTATAGAGTTGTAACACGTGTGCAATCATGATATCATGATACATGTCATCGCTCATATGTAAATCAAGGAATTTTTTTGATATAGTATTATCCGGATAAAATTTCATAAACATATTCCATAGAAAATAAGTAGCATACTTTAGTAGGGCGTGAAAAAATATGTTGCTAGTACTGCGCTTTTCACTGTTTTAGATCGTTAAATCTCATTAGATTATGACACTTTGTCACGTTTGCATATATTTTATATTTTTGACATTAATAGACAGTTAAAAACATACAACACCGATAAATACCCGATCACGACAAAAAAAAAAGTTCAAATAAGAAAGCTAAGCAACATGAAAGAAAAGGAAGTAGTTATGTGCTAAAAACAATTGTGCATTAAAATGGTTTATCATCTTTAGGGGGATATAAAACTTGGGTCCGAAATCCTCTTTGCATAGAAATTTTTGGAAATAGTATAAAATAAGTCAATATGAAAAGGTTAAGGAAGTATATAGGTTAACTTTTAGTTGTAGAAATTAATAAGTCATAACTTATCAAGTTATGGTTCATAACCAGATAAGTTATGAATAAACTTGTCAAGTTATGATTCATAACTAGACAAATTATGGACAAAAATAATAATTTAACCTATTTATTAACTTATGTAAATTATTAATTTATTAATTTTAATTCATCTTAAATTTTAACCTATTTCTTTCTTTCTCCTGGACTTTTTTACAAAGCAATTAGCAACTGGAAATGGTGGCTGATGGCTCCAATGAGTTAGATGGTGGTAGGTTGCTATTAGTAATTGATTGGCCATCCACTAAAGACTAAGTGGTAGCCGAAAATTTTAGCAAAGAAAGTAATAATTAAAATAAAAAGTGGGTAGCTGCTAAGTAGATGGATCTTGAAGTCTATTAAAGTGTTTTACAGTAATATAAATAACGTCACAATCATTACGTGGCATGTTCCTGTTTTCCTCTCTTAGGAGAGGAAAAAAAGAAAAAAGAAAAAAAGAGGAAACAAACTCCACCAACCACTTGGTATTCAATTTTATTCAGCGTGTTCTACATGAAGTTTCACCATGATTTATAAGCTTTTTATAATTAGTCAAATCCAAACTTGCCTTTTCTAAATTGTCCATTTATTTGCACTAATTCTTGGTGAATCTAAAGGCACGTTTTTTTGTTTAAAAAACTTAAAAAAAGACGATTCGTGTTTTAATTTTATTTAAGTTCACATTCTTTTAAATTTTAATTTTATTTAACTTTACTCAAATTACAACTTTAACTTAAGTTATAACTCAAATTTAATTTAAAAATTATACTCAAATTACACTCTAAAAGAACAACAATCTTTAAAAGAAGGGTATTGGATTCTGGGGGTGATACGTGTATTTATTAATCATAGTGATGTTTGAATTACGTGGTTGACTTGGGTTTTCAAAGCACTAGCAATGATTTTATGTCCGTAATTATTATATTTATTACCCCACAAGTGGATTATTTTGTGTTGTTTTAATTGATTCCCTGAGGCTTTTATTGTGATGTTGCATCTAGACCTAAAAACTTAAAGCAACATAACATCAGGTTGGGTTTACAAACTAATTTAAACGTTTAATTCATGAATTATAATTATGTAATTAGTATTATTTTTAATTTATGTGTATTTTTTTAAGAGAAAATATTATAATAAATCATAAATTATGACTCAAATCATGATATGAATCCTTTTATTAAATCTCAAGATTAACAAAAAAAAAAAAAAAAAAAAAAAAAAAACCCAATGATTCTAATAGGAGGGCAGTACCAAAAATAAAGTAACTTTTTCATAGAGTAAAAGAGTATCTTATTATGTTAAAAGAATCTGGATTTATGCTTGACACTTGGCAGGTAACACCTGTAAAGAACAAGCCTCCACTTTACAAAGAGTGTGGAGAGTGGTTTTAATAGTTTCAGTCACAACATTAAAGTCATCAAAAAGGTAAAGATTGAAGTCAAAAGGGGTGTGACGGCAAAAAGATTCTCTCGGCACTCACAGTTTTAAACCGATTTTTAAAAAAATGGGACACTTTAACGAAATTTATTAAAATTTGACGGTGTAAAACCGTATAATGTGTGCATGCATGCCGTATAAAAGAATTCTCGAACAAATGAAACGGTGGTAGGAGAAGTGAGTTTGTGTTCAATGTCTCTGAAAGATGTGGTCCATATGAAATGCACACAAGGACTAGCTTTTCAATGGGCATTGATTGTTAGACTGGAAGAAGAAAAATAAGACATCAGGGGAATGGCGCTGAGTAAATGATTGGTGGATGGTGATGGAGTGTTTTGATTGATCCACTTGTCAAACAACAATATATATATATATATATATATAGAGAAATTATTCAGTACACCGGGTGTACCACGTCATATTATTTATGTGATACACCCGTCCAATAAGATCATATAATTTAGACATTTTATCTATGTCAACTTTTCACTTTTATTTTTATCTTTTCTTAATAGGTATTTGTATTGAATAACTATTAGGAAAGAGAAAAATAAAAATGAAAAGCTGACATAGACAAAATGTTTAAATGGTACAATTTTATTAGACAGATGTATATGACGTGATACACCCAGTATACTGAATAATTCCTCATATATATATATATATATATGTATATGTGTATAGAGTAGATGCTTTCATTGAGGTTGTTGGGTATGGCCTTTTCACGTGCTTGGTCTTGTCTGGTTCATGTCATCACAGGTCTTAAATTTGGTTTGTCTGACAGGAGGCTTAGAAAGATATGCCTTTTAAAGTGGCTTATGCAAATTATCTACTCGTGAGAGGATGGTATTTTCCAGATTCTGTGGTCTATTCTCTACCATACTTCTTGGTCAAAATATTGACAGCTAAATCAGTAATGGTAAACTATTGTGCACTTGATCTTTCTATGTGCATGCATTGAGAGTAAGAAGTCCAAAGAAGTTCAATTGGGCCTGGCCCATGTTTTAATCAGGCCTTCTTTAGTTTCCAGGCTCAATCAGTTTGTTCAATCTCATCCAAACAGGGTGCGTTTGGTTCAAGCTTCGTGCCATGGTTCAAATCATGGTTCATGACTCGTTACAATATTTTCTCTCATAAAAAATACACATAAATTAAGAATGGTTATGAATCATGATTCTGAATCCATCAACCAAAACGTATGATTGTGGTGAAAAAATTCGGCTATGTTTCAGTTTTCGAGTTTGACTTTGTTTAACATGCCATTTATTTGGGCCCGGCTCATGTTTTAATCAGGCCTTTTTTACTTTCCAGGCCTAATCAGCTTGTTCAATCTCATCCAAACAGGTCTCAAAGACTTCATGCTCGTGGTGAAAAAATTCTGGCTATGTTTCAGTTTTCGAGTTTGTTTAACATACCATTTCTTTGGGCCCGGCCCATGCTTTAATCAGGCCTTTTTTACTTTCCAGGCCCAATCAGTTTGTTCAATCTTATCCAAATAGGTCTCAAAGACTTCATGCTCGTGGTGAAAAAAATTCTGGCTATGTTTCAGTTTTCTTGTTTGTTTAACTTACTCTAGAAATGGTATGAAAATAGCATTTGTTTGCAGCCTCATTTTAAGAACTGAAAACGGGACAGTTTTTCTAAAGGAAATGGAAAATGATATTCAACATATCCCAACACAATATCGATTTCTCTTTTTTGTTTCATTTTTTGGGGCTTATATAATATTCCACATAATTTCAGTCATAACCCAACACAATATCGCTTTTAACTACAAAGCACAATTTAAAAGAAAACAATTACAACACCATTTCTAAAACAAATCACATATTCTATAAATGCTTCCTAAAATAGCATTTATTTCCATACTCAAAACAAAATCATTCTACAATCTCTCCCTAACAACCCTCTCTTTAGTGAACATTTCTCTGTAACACAGTTTTACCTGTAGAAGTTGCTCGACCCCAAAAGAAATTTTAACAAAAAAACCAGAAAAAAGTTCGTCAACTCGGGGAACAATTCGTCATCAAGAAGAGAAGCAGATATTGGAATACGGAGTACAAGTTCCCTGTCACTCAAATATTTAATTGATCCCAAAGATGAGAAAAAGAAAAGAGAGAATTGGATTAAAAAAAAATAAAATCAAGACTCTTCTTGTTAACAAAAGGAACATCTTCAATTGCATCGTCTAAAGCTCGGTGTCACATAAACGGATCATCAATTCAGACACCATTCTCCGAGCAAAAGGAATGTAGCTCAAACTATACCTGAAACTTGAAACAAATACAACTTAACAAGATCTTACAACATTGAAAAAATGCAGTCTGCAACAAAATTGAGAAAAATGCATTACGGCATGAAACACAAGTTATACTTATACAAGCTTCTACAATAACTGACTAAGATAGTGGAGAGGGCGTCTACAGAAAAAAAGAGAGAGAAGAAGGTGGCCAGTGTTAAGGATTAGACGACGTTATGCTTTACTAATGAGAGCAATAATATTGAAACAAAAGCAGGCATGAAAACACACACACGCACACAAGATTTATAATATTCACTGTTAATGTGGGAGCTATGTTCACCATGATAAATTACAAGATTGCGAGAAAAAGTTGCGCATATTTTCTACACTTTCATTCTTTTTTCCTTTTTTCTTCTCTAATAGCTCTTGACTCTAAAAATCGGCGCCTCCTCTTCATTATAAGCAAAAGTAGAGGTAGGGAAACCGAAAAAAAAAAGTGTGAAAAACCCAATACCCTTACTAAAGCCCGATCCACGTGCTAATTCTATGTCAAGATAATGATAGGCTCTAGTTCCACACACTCAACAATCATTCCTCCCCATTTCCATCATGATCATAGTAGCGAAAGAGGTGAGATGTGTCAATGTGAAGGGAAAAACTTACCAAACAAGGGCACAGATCTCGACAATGACTGCGAGTATTGTTAAAATCTTGCTATGTATCTGCAAGATGAGAGGAAAATGTGAAGCAGAAAGTATTTTTACCATAGCATACCATAATTGAAAAACCTATGGATCTGCAGTGTTAACTCAAGTTCTTTCCATTTTGTTATAGAATTAGGACTGAATACTAACCCAAAGAGCACAGATGAGTGCTAGAACAACACATCCAAGATAAATAGCCGTTGCATAAACTCGGGCGGAGTCAAACATCATTCTCATTTGTTTCCCAGCGCCAATAAGGAAGGCTGTGCTGAGAAAGAGCAATTAAAGTTTTAGTATCTAATTCCCAAGGGAACAAAAGGGAAGGGAAATGACAGACACAATAGGAGGAAAGGTTTTAATTCTTGTGTAACACAAATACATGTGATCATATGGCAACCTATTCCTGTGTCTCGTAATAGTAGCGGACATCAACCCACCCACTGAACAAAAGCTATTGAACATGCAAAGATCTTTCATTTATGGGAGATATTCAAAATACATAAGATCATGGTGATCTAAACCATGGAAATACGAGGAAATAAGATGCAGACCCACCTTCCAACTGCCAAAACATTGCCAAAGGTGAATAACAAGGCAAATTTGATTGGTTTTGTGAAGACAATCATCGACTGCGAAGGAAGTGAAAGAAAGTTATAAGGCTGCAACTGCATCAACAATCCATTTTAACATCACCTTTCTAAGCCTGAAAACTATAGAATGATGAATGCAAATCTATCTTAACTCTCCCAAGAAAAGTAACATATAAGTACTCCTTTCTCTTGATCTTCAGTAGGACTAATTCTTTCTTTGGCAATACAAAAAAAGCCACAATTTTGTTCTCAGAAGACTATAAAATAACTCTAGAAGCTCTAAACCAAAAACACTCCATGATCAAAATGCTCTATGTAAGAATAATTTAACCGGGCTATTTATAGGGTAATAAACAAAATTTTCATACTCAATGGTATGTGAATTTTGTATAAACTTTGTAGTTTTTCATGATTAGTTACTCAGAAATTGCAATTTGCATAAGATGCTAAACTCTAAATTTTGGATTAAAACAAAATTGAACATATATATAAAAAAAAGTTAACCAATTGCTTGAATAAGTAAAATAGAAGTGCTCAGGAACTCATACCAGGAACATACAAACCAATCCAGCGAGCAAACACGCAGCGAATGCATAAATTCTCTGATCAAGTCAATATCCAGAAAACCAAAAAGCATTCTGAGGCCAAAACTAGAGAAAACCCCACCAAGCCAGTAATTGAAAAGAAAAAAACGAAAAATAAAAATCTGGGGATTAAATTTTTTTGCATCTCCAACTCAAAAGGTACCTGAGTTTGAGAAAGAGAGAAAAAGTTGTCGGATTCATCGTCCAATAAAGCGTCGCCTCCTCCCCCGTCGTCGTCGTCGTCTCCTGACATAGATTGTTTCAGCTTTGCCCACATTGTTTGTAAAGCTTTCTTTACTCTTCAATGGCGTCCTAGAGGAAAAACGCACAATTATTAAACATTTATCGATACCAATTCCAATTGCCAGGACAGGACTAGCGCTGGAAAGAAAAGAAGTGGGGAAAAAGCGAGTGAAATTTTTGCGTATCATTTGATTTTTAATTGGAACGTGGAAGCACGTTTGTTAATAAATACGACAGCTCGTTTTTGAATATAAGATATTTAATTTTGTTTATTATGTTTATATAAACGGTTTGGTGTCGTTTGATTCGTTGTCGTTTCTCAACATATCGTCGTTTTTCCCTATAATGCCATTTCTCTTTCATTTTTCCTTTTGGTTTTCGATTCTTCGTTCTTACTTCGTTTTGCAAGTTGTTATCTTCTCCAATATGTCTTTTTTGTCATTAACTTATTGTCGTTAATTTCAAATTGTCGTTTTTCAACTTATCGTCGTTTGGCTTCATTGTTGCTTTTGTTCTTTGTGCAGTCGTTTTTTTTACTTATTGTCGTTGTCCGACCTATCGTCGTTTTCCGACCTATCGTCGTTTTTTCCTTTCCTTAAAGGACTTGTCGGTTTGTTTGAAATCTTACTGTCGTTTAAGCTTTAAACAGGTTAATAGATACATCTCTCCTTCGTCCCCGATTACAATTCTCCGTTCGAAAGAAATCCCTTTCTCTGCGAGCGAGAGAGCTTGAAACCCTAACTGCAAATTCTTCGATTCTGGTCGGTTCCGTTGGGAGCTGAAGAACGCGAAGATGTCGTCGACGCTTCTGGAAGTGACTCGGTCGGCTCACGAGGAGGTTGAGCGGCTTGAGCGGTCGATCGTGAAGGAGCTCCAGAACAGTCATGCGACGTCCAAGGACAGCTTGTTCCAGAGCCACCGCATCCGCCACATGATCGACACCATCACCGCCACCACCGAAAAACTCGTAAATCTCCTCTTCTTCATCTTTCAATTCTTGAAAACTAGGGAAATAGTTGAACTTTTATACGAAGCACTCATATTCGAACCTCGCCAGGGCATTTATTAGTTAGGATTCCTGAAATTATTTAAGTGCTTGCCTTTTTTTTTTCGAATTTTCTTCCGCTTTCTGCTTAGTATGTAAGAAACGAGGGAACAATTAGTTCTCGAAACCGGTTTTCTAGTGAATTACATTGATATTTTGTGTTAGTACGTTGAAATCTTGTCCTTTGATAATTGAGGAGCCGAATTACTGTGCTGATTTGGTTTAGCAGGCTTATTAGGTTCAGCACTCAAACTTAGAGTTTGATTCCTTGTGTACAAACTAAAACCAAACTGGTTGAATTATGAAAAAAAAAGAGCTAGCTTACATTTCCTGTTTTTTCTCCTTTCAGGTTGAGATTTATGAAGACAAAGATAATGCACGGAAGGATGAGATTGCGGCCCTTGGGGGCCAAACTGTGACGGGCACCAATGTGTTTAGTGCATTTTATGATAGGCTGAAAGAGGTAATGTTTTGTGAGAATGATCTTGTATCTGCATTTTGTTGTTGCTATAATTTTTCAGATTAAGGTTCTTAAACGTGGAAATTCTGCTCAAGCCATTGCTTATATTTTTCATAGTTTTTGGTTCTGTTATTTGGTCCTCTTTCCTTGTTAGTTTAATGATTAAAATAGTGGAGCAATAACAAGGGCGAGTTGTTGCTTTGAAATATATTTTAATGTTTTTGTTTGTGTTTGGGCAGATTCGTGAATACCATAGAAGGCACCCAGCTGCGCGTGTTGTTAATTCCAATGAGGAGTATGAAGCGATGCTGAAGGAGGAGCCAGTAATTGAATTCAGTGGCGAGGTCTCTCTCTCTCTCACAAAATTTGAATTCTGATTTGAACCCACCTTCCAAACAAGCCCAAAATGATTTGCTATCTACTCATTGTATACGTTGCTTTGTTAAATTTAACTTGTTGAAGAGTTATTTTTCCACCTTATAACTGTTATACGTTCTTTTTCAGGAAGCTACTGGAAGATACCTTGACTTGCACGAATTATACAATCAGTATATTAATTCCAAGTTTGGGGAGCCCATCGAGTACTCTGCTTACCTTGATGTTTTTTCACAGCCACATAAAATTCCTTACAAGCTGAAGTTGACTAGGTAGAGTGCATTTTCCATTTGTTTTAGAATGTTTATTATGGCGGTCTGTCTGTTTACGTTTTTGGGTAGTTTAGTGATTTACATGAAATTTGGAATGTTCGTCCTTTCTGTTTTCTGCAGGCAATACAGGGAATACATAGAGAATCTATTGGAGTATCTAATATATTTTTTCCAGCGGACAAAGCCCTTGGAAGATCTGGATAGAATATTCTCAAAGGTTAGTATTTCTGTTTTGCATGAGCAGAATATGGTATTTTCGTTTTGCATGACTGAAATGCACTCTTTAGGCTTTAGTCATCAAATTTGACGTGCATGTAAAATGAAATAGGAATTAACTTTTATAATTTGTGTTTGTACCTCTCTCTCTCTCTCTCTCTCTCTCTCTCTCTCTAAATGTTAGGAATTCAGTAGCTTCGTCAAGTCTGGAATTTTCTTTGAAGATTTTTAAGCTTTGCAATTTTGAGGTGGTTTTGAATTATCGTAATTGGCCATATTTATGAGATGTTTGCGTAAGATTTGTTAGATTGTTGTGTATATGTAGTGAAGGACATATTCTGAAACTGAAATTAGTTTCAACTTCTCTCTGTGCAATATCAATCATGCACTGTCTATTTCATCTTCATCTACCATGTATTCTTATGTGTCAACCATGCAAGATTTCATTCGTGACAATCTTAGATTATGCTCTATTAGGTTTACATTTTAAAGTATGTTACAATGTTCCTGGCGCAGGTTGCAATGGAGTTTGAAGAGCAATGGGCAGATGGTAAGGTAGAAGGATGGGAGCCTGAAGATCAAGGAAATGGGCATGTACCAGATCAGCATACCGTGATTGATCTTGATTTGTATAGCACGGTTGAAGAGTTGGTCGAAGTGGGTCCTGAAAAATTAAAGGAGGTAAAGAAGATTTGTATTTCCATTTTTTTCCCGTAAAGTTATTTTCTAAAAGGAAGCATGTTTTTGTTAAATTTGTATTCAATCTGCATACTTATAGAGATTTAAATTTCAATACATCTTTTTAGCTGTATCTATACTTACTATTTTCCTTGCAAATTTTTGTTTTTACTCTTGTCAGGCATTGGCTGCATTAGGACTAAAAACGGGTGGTACTGTTCAGCAACGTGCGGAGCGGCTTTTCCTCACAAAGGTAATTTCACGCTAGCCTTTCTTTCTTTCTTTCTTAAAACAATGATAAATTGGAAGAAAGTATAGGAAAAACTTTAAGAGTTTGTGTGTATGTTCTCCTTTTGCTCTAGTTCCTCAATGATTGCTTTGGTCAGTACATATTTTTTTCCCCAGCGTATTACTTAGATCCAAATAGAAGAACTTTTAAGAGTTCAAGTGGATGTTGTTTCTGTCTGGTTCTTCAACGGATGCTTAGTCAGTATGTCTTTTGTTTTTTCTTCTTCTGTAGTTTAGATTTGTCGGATGTCCGGATGTCTGAAAATTGCATTTTGACTGGATATAGAATGATGGTTACTTGTTGGTAAGGCCGCAAGAAGATTATAATTTCTGATCGCTTATTATATGACTCTAAAAGCTGAAAAATTATGTTGTTACTAGTGAATATCCTGGTTATTGCACGTTAGGCTTTTGTAAATGTTGTAAATTTACAAATTTGAATCCTTCTTCCAGAAAATCTGTTAATATTGGGAGCAATCCTTTTTCCTGAGTTTGATAAGAGTTTTGTTCAAGGACTTCCTTCCAAATCTTTTGAAGCTTTATCTTAATAGATTAAATAACAGATTCCTTTAAATTCCTTATTCCTTTCATGCAGCATGCACCTCTTGAACAGTTGGATAAGAAACATTTTGCTAAAGGTTCACGTGGTTCAGAACAAAACGGGATTGCTGCAGCTCCACAAGTGAACAATTGGAAAGAAATTGCTCTGACGGAGTCCAAAATAAACAAACTGTGCCAGTCACTTGACGAGGTTAGCATTTGTTGCCCATTTGTCTAACCTTGCATATTATTTGAACATCAGAAGGCGCCACATACAATCCACAACTTTCCATTTTATCATTATTTTATTCTTAGTAGTCCAATATGTTGGTTTTTCTGTGGCATTATGCAGACAATTGCACGAACAAAAGACAACATTGTGAAGAAGCAGGCATTGACGTATGAGGAAATGGAGGCAGAACGTGAGGATGTGAGTGTGAATCTTTGTTTTCATCTTTTCTAACTTTTGCGGAAAAATTAGACAAAGAAATAACAATCACAAATACAACCTGTAGCGTGGCTACTTTGTACACTTAACATGTAAATTGCATTTGTACCTTTGAGTTTGCTTTGGTTCTGATAGTAAATGCTGTTTGACTAACTCTGGCAGGAAGACACACACGCTGAAAGTGAAAGTGATGACGATGATCAGCAGATTTATAATCCCCTCAAATTGCCAATGGGTTGGGACGGGAAGCCTATACCTTATTGGCTTTATAAGCTTCATGGCCTTGGCCAGGTAATATTTTCCTTAACTAAGGGGTTCCCTTCAGACATAATTTCTTTAGAATTAAGTTGATGGTACTAATTTCTATAGTATTCATTTAAGCTCTGATCATGCATTTCCGACTATTTATGCATTCAGGAGTTCAAGTGTGAGATATGTGGAAACTACAGTTACTGGGGCCGCCGGGCTTTTGAGCGGCATTTCAAGGAGTGGCGGCATCAGCATGGGATGCGTTGTCTTGGTATACCCAATACCAAGAACTTCAACGAGATCACATCAATCGAGGTATCCTTTTGAGATCTTTTTGTGGTGGTGAATTTTCTCTTCCAATGTTTGGTAGTTACTTGTTAGATTGAGCCTATAGAATGGCCTTGCTTTGCCTGAAAGATGACGGAGCAATTACCAATTTTTTGTATTGTGCAGGAAGCAAAAGAACTTTGGAAGAGGATACAACAACGACAAGGATACAATAAATGGCGCCCAGATCTTGAAGAAGAATATGAAGATAAAGAGGGTAACATTTACAACAAAAAGACGTACACTGATCTGCAGCGTCAGGGACTGATTTAGGAGAATCGACAGTCCCGAAAAACTTGAATGTGCTTGTTACAGGAACTGATTTTGTAGTTCTTGCATTTGGCGGCAATTTGCATCTCTGTCCCTAGCTCTATGGCACCATCTAAACATCTGTAACAAGTCACTAGGGGAGTTAGGCTATGCTGGAATTTTTGCAGGTTCTATGTGCAACTCTCTTTTCTTGTGAAGAAAAATGAGATTGGTTCACCTTGTAGTCCCAACTGGGGCCTTTCATTTCGTTTAACAAAAAGGAGAAGGCCTTTTGGCTTCATTTAGTTAATCTATCACTAAAATTATACATGTGATATTTGATAAATGTGAATGCCAACTTCTTTCTTTTGATTTTTTTTTTTTCAGACATTAGAAATTATTTTGTTACTTTTCGTCCATGTATCAACTATCAAGTGATGGCATTCAAACTTGTGCCGGTCTAGAGCACAAGACAAATGATTAAAAAAAAAAGTGTGGTGGCATCAACAACTCAGGATTCTCAAGGCACGACATGTCGTGTTAAGAATGCAAAGATAGAAATCAGGACTTTGGAGTAGGGCTGTTCATAAACCCGCAAACCCAACCCACCCCGCCCCAACTCAAGTCGAAAAAAGCAACCCGCAGCATTATTTTTAAATTTTTGGCCCATTATACCTCTGGCCCGAAGTGTTTGGGACGGATTGCGGGTTGAGCCCATAACAACCCGCAATCCCTAACCTAACTCACACAACATACCCCCAAGCTTTCGGCCCAAGCCGAACTGTCCAAGTTCTACCTTAGGCTCGCTAACATTAGGGTTCACAATCTCATTCTTGGTCTCTCCTCCCGTGAACCCCTTCTTCTTGCCTCTTCCTTTTCAGTTTTACCTCTTCTTCCTCTCCCGTGAACCCCCTCATATCTCTCTCCTCATTGCTCAGTCCTCTCGGCCGCCGTCTTGCCCACTTTCTCCGGTGCTCTCTCGCCGGACTGATAAGGATTGTTGTTATTTTCTATTTAATGATGAAGTTTGAATATTATATTGAACTTTAAGTTTTTGATTTTTTGAATGTTGAAACCGACCACCAAACCCACCCCGCACCGCCCCAACCCAACCCGAACATCGTTGGGTTGTGAAATTTTTCTAACATCGTTGGGGCTAAATATGTGCAACCCGCACCCTTTGGGGCGGGGAAAAAAAGTCCTACTCCACACCAACCAAACCCATGAATAGCCCTACAGTTTGGAGTGAGATGCTGTTCTCAAGTCATAATCCATGTCTGACAGCAAGGAATGGTTAAACCTTGTACGACTTATCGTTTTAGGCAACAATGGAACTTTTACCGGCAAGCTTTTTGCTGAGTGAAAAAAAGGGTGATATAAATATTTGGTTTTTATTTTTTAAATTTTTTGAGACAATAAAGATAAAAAATAAAAATAAAAATAATTTTTTAATTTCGTATAAAATGAGAAAATTAAAAGTAATTTTTAATTATTTTTTATTTTTTGTTTCTATATTTTCATCTTTTTAAGTAAAAAGAGACATTAATATATTTTTTTATATTAAAAATAATTTTTTAATAAAATTTTTAAAAATAAATTTTAATTAAGATTAAAAATATTTTTATTTTTATTTTTATATAAAAAATAAAATTATTTTAAAACAATTTAAAGCACTATGTTATTTACTTCAAATATAGGCGTGAAATATGCTTAATAATGCATTTTTCCTATCTTAAAACAGTTTTTTTCCAAGGCAATGCAAACTGAAACCATTCGACAACAACCCACCAAATGGACGATCCTTCACGACCATCGTCGTCCTCTTCGTCCAGAAACGACACCAAAATGGTGAAAACGACAGGCTTCTCTTTGCTAACCGACGACCTTCTCCACAATATTCTGGCGAGGCTTCCGGCGCCGTCGTTCGCGTCCGCGGCTTGCGTGAGCAAGTCGTGGAATCGAGTCTCTTCTCAGGTCCTCTCTCGCCCCAAGCTCGCCTCCGCCCTCTCTCTCGATCCTTCTCCTCAGGTAGAACAAGCGTCCTTATTTTCAACTTCAATCGTGTTTGTTTCCCGAGAAAACAGGAAAAAAAGTTGAGAAATTTGATAATTTGCTGTGAAATTGTGATCTTGATAGGTTGCCGTGAGAGAGGTTATCGATAAGGTCCTGACGGATCCAATACGCCCTGATTTCGCCATTGCCAGTGTTGGAAGTGGATTTCGCTTGTATGACATTTTCAAGCTTGTAAGTAATTTTTTTTTTCCTTTCTTTTTTCTTTTTCCATTTCGAAGAAAAAGATGAAAAAATTTTTGAGTGATTTTCGTTTCTCTTTATCAGATATCGAAGAAATTGGGGACTAAAACGCCGATAATTATATCAACTGCTAATGGAATAATTGGAAGAGATGCTCTTACTGACGAGCTTAAAGAGGTTTCTTTTGTTGATTTTGCTTGTTGTCCTAGTAAATTTGTAAATTTTGGAGTAAAAATGAAGCCAAAGATTGATAATTTACTTCTTTTTATTGGAAACAAAAATTTTGCTAGGTCAAGTGGACTAGTTTTAGTGGAGATCTAAGTGATGATGATGGGTCAATAACTTCAGAAGATGAGAATTTTGGCATCGTTTTGACCGTTGGGTTTGTGCCAGGACTAAAAGTTGATGTTATTCCATTGTTACGATCCACAAAGGTTTATATACATATAGATATATATGCATATATTATGTGTGTGTTTATCTTGAGATCATATGATAATTACTTTGTTTATGTGTTTAGGTTGACGTGTTAAGGAATGCTGACACTAGTGAAATCTTTTATGTTGCCCAGGAGCCTCGAGATGCATTAGTTGAGAAGTTTGTAATGGACATAAGGGATTACACTGACTCTGTTTCGGGTTGTAAATCCCCGGTTGGGATTATACTCTTTGGGGTGAGTTGGTTTTTTGTTTGTTTGTTTAGTTTAGTCTCTACTTATTGTCAGCACGTTCATCCTTGATTGTGTTTCTAAGTTCTCACATCATAGATGGCACAGGAAGGGCTTGTTAACATGAAACCAATTCTTAACATTTTGGGTGAGTTTCCTTTCATTGCAATTGTCGTCCTTTAATTTTGTTTGCCAAAAGCTCACCTTTTAAATTTGTTCTTCAGTGAGATTTGGATTTATTACCTAAGAATATGATTATGATCATGTGTTGTTAGAAATTTCTTTGTTAAAGTACATGATTAGTTTTTGTTAATTACATCTCAATACTTCAGATTATGCTATGCCTGAGGAGACAGTTATTGTGGGTGATGAGAGAGGTCGGTTTTTGTATAAGACTGCGAATAAGTCAAGAAATTTCTGTGGAAGTGCAAAATTCTTTACTGACGCTGTTGCTCTTACATTTGCAAGGGATAGAAACAACACTCATGGTACTTTTCTTCTCAAACTAGTTATATACTTATATGAGCTACTATTGATTAATTGTTTGTTGTTTAAGTAATCCTGACTTGCATAGTCTGGTTTGCTGTAAATGAATAGGCATTGGTAATATTCGATTCCATGTTGCATTGTCAAATGGAGTATCAGCAATTGGTCCGACATACAGGGCAGCATCTGTTAGAGTGAATTGTTCTGATCATTCTACGTGGCTCACTGCTAAAATAGAAGGACAACGGGCTATTCTTGATGGTCAACGTATTATGAATGATATCAATGTCGCGGTACGTTAGTGTGATAAGTTTGTAGACTGGCAATTATTATTTGTCTCTCCCTTTCAGATCTATTCCTGAATTTCAAGGCACCTGGAGATAGTAATTTTGAGCTGATATTGTCTTTTTATTCTATGAGTGACAGTTAGAAGATCATGTCGATTCTTCTGATTTGTACATTGGAGTTACAAAAAGGCAAAATTGCTCCATTGGATCAGAGAGGCCTAGATCAATAACTTCCTTGTCATTCTATGGAGTTGTTGGGTAATATATGGAATTGGAACTCTTTTTAATCATTATTATTTCTAGGGATTTTTTTATTCTTATATTGGTTGCTTTATCCACATATGTTTTTGCAAATTTATTCCCAAGTAACTCAGTAATTTACTGGGGTCATAATGGTTTTAAATAGCTACATGGAGCTTCTTCTTTTTGACAGAAAATGATGTGGGAGCTGACTATTGGATAAATTTCCAACTCTTTAAGTTGTATTTTATGTGTGAACTTGCTGCCATTGGAATTGACCAGTAAAAATGTGATGAAATTCTATAGTTTTGATACTTACCTAGAAAGCCTAGGGGGTAACTCTAAGCGCAATCAAGTCTTGGTAGAAATGAAATGACATTTTGGTAGAGCTCCATGGAATTACATTACTCAAGGCACTGATCTAAAGTTAACTTACATCTCTGGACCAAGCTGAAATAACTACTCTTTCTGAATAATTGATTTTAATATTTAGCTTTTTCCCTAGAAATAAGTTTCCTTCCTTAAGCATCAGTCTGAATCGAATAATATATCAGTTCTTTGTTGAATTATTTTGTTCCAAATCTGACACGAGACTTGTGCTACAGGGGAGATGATGAATATCTTTATGTAAATGGCCTTGGCATCAGAACTGGCGATCGCTTTCAATTCTACCGTTCAGATCCTGATACTGCATTGAACTCAATTGGTCGTGTTTCTTTGGACCTCAAAAACTTTAAGTTCAATGAAAGTAGGAAGAACATCAGTCATGAAGTTTTTGGAGGTTTCATCTTCTCGTGTTATGGCCGTGGTGACACATTCTTCACGCGAGAGGATGTCGATAGTTCCCCATTTGTGAAGAACTTTCCTGGGGTCCCATTTGCAGGAATATTTTGTGGAGGGGAAATTGGGCGTAGCTCTTCAAGTTTGACAGAGGAAGGTCACAAGGAAAATGTTCCCAGCTGCTGTCTGCATGTCTATAGCACTGTTTATCTAGTGATGTCATATACTTCACCACCACTTGGGTATTAGATTTGCTCACGCTCTCTAAGATGAATGGGACGTCCTCTTTTGCTTCTCATTCTCCCATGGCGGGTTTTGAGTTGCTTTGAAGATGCCAAGGACTCCGTTGCCTTTGTCTTCCATTTCCGCATAGAAGAAGACGGACCGAGGATACGCCAGGTCAAAGTAGCGCTAGCCCTTGGCTGAACCTTTTGTATTGGATGTTTCTGAATTGAATGTACTGCTTAGACATGATGTTTAGAATTTGAACATATGTACAATAAGTATATATGTAGAATTTAGAATATCTAATAAACTTGGTTGCTGTTATTCAACTCTGACCTGTTTGTAAGGTTTCCAGGGCAAAACCGTTAAAGAGGTTCGTGTAGCATATATGAAAAGATTGTGTTTAAGAATGTGAAATGAATGTTCATTTCACCCTTTTTTTTTGGTTCCTGGCGGTAGTGTGCGTGCATGACTCAGGCTCTAATTTCACGTCACCGTTGAAAGAAGAAAGAAAGGTGGTGATTAACCGATTGGTAAGATTGAAAACGTTTTTATTTTCATTTTCATACAAAAAATAAAATTATTTTAGAATGAGTTCTAAACGCACTCAAAAAGTCTGAAGCATAGACTAGGTGTCGTTTATCATTAGACGACATAAAGAGTAATTACAAAACAACGCGTGTTCACTTGAACGATAGTAAAACGGACGTAGTTTAGTTCACGAAGAAAATGAACATGTTTTCAGCCAAAACAACTATTTATTTATTTATTTTCTTTGATATATCTAAAACAACTACTTATTTCCCTTAACATTTGTACTTCTCGTTTTCTTCCAACATATACACGTTTTAATTTAATTGCACGAAAGATTTCCTTCGCTGTATCGTCATTTATTTTGAGGACAGTGTGAACTTTGGAGTTTTCAATATTTCCTTTGGACAATTCACCCCGATCTCTCAAATCTAGGAGAATCAGAAGATGTAAAAAGAGCAAGTTCGTCAGTGGAACACTAGTGCTCACTGTTTTTCATTTCCTAGTTCATAAAACAATTACTTACAGATGACAATTGAAACATCGAAATTAATACACAAGGCCACTATCATCTCAAGTTTACAGCATCACAAGATCTTGTGAATAGAAGTGCAGAACCATTCACTCCCCTCAGGACTAGCAGCCTGGAATCTACATACGTCCCGCAAACGAGCTTTGTCAAATCAAACATTTCAGGAGGTACTTGAACTCGAACTTCCTGAACTACATTTCCTGCGACGCTGACGTCTTTATTCAGCGGATCACCGAGGTTCAGTGTCACCTCAATGTCACTTGAACCAAGCTTGGCAACCGGAAGGCTCATCGGAAACTCCTCAAACGGAATAACTTTCCTCCACTTCTTGCCGGCGAGTTTCTGAGCTAAAGAATCATGGGTGTTTGGACTCCATGGGAACTGTCCTGTAGTTTTTTCTTCTTTGAGATAGAGGCGTCTGCCTGCTGTTAATCTAAATGATGAGTTCACTTGCATTTTCCCATTTACACCAGTCTTGTCATGCGGCCAATTCTGGCCAAGCATGACTCTGAAGTCAACGTCGGAGGCAAATGAAAGAGCAGTGTTCAACTTCGATGATCTAGATATCGTTAGGTGCACATCGCCAACGAGAACTCGCGTAGGTGGTTGCCGAAGGGTCAGGCCTATGTGCCTCCCAGTGCAGTATAATAAACGCCACTTTCCTGGCAGGAACTCCAGCCAATTCTGCAAAATTGAAACGTGATTTTAAAAAATTGGAATATTCACTTGTCCATACAAATGGACATGGCAACCGGTTACATAATTGTGTAAACAACTAGCATGTTTTTGTCGTTGTCTGGAAGTCAAAAACCTGAATGCAAAACTTCCAACTATGCATTCTGATGGATATAGTTAAAAAGAATAAAGCAGGAGAGTTGTGGGAAATGCAACTAAGTTGTTACCTTTGGCCTTGAATGAGAATTGAGCATCTCCATTAGTTCAATAAAATGCGCTAGTCTTCTACGCTGTAGAATGAAAAAAGGCACAAAGTTAGTGCATCTACCATACCTTCATCCCTATGCAGTCTCGTTAGATGATCAGAAATAACAAAGTTACCAGAAATATAAAATAGAGCATAATTATACATGAAAGTAAGCGTAACACAGGAAGCAAATAAGAAGAACGTTATTTGCATATAAAGCGAAAAACTAAACCACAGTTTTACTTGGTATAAGTTGGTGTATGGTAGTTCCCTGGTAGGATATGATGAGGGACAAATGTATTAAATTGTAAAACAGAAAAATGACGGCACAAGTCTAGATCTAGAAAAGTAAAGATCTGACATACCTGAGGCTGGCCATAGATGTACTCCTCAGAAATTCGAACTGCAGTTGAACCAAGACCCCACCTGATGATATCCATGGATGGGACAACCTTCCATCTAGGTCCACACAGAAATGGGTGTCTAAGAGCATCTAAGCAACTGTGAAGCATTCACTAAGAAATTATAATTGGAATTAATTTTAGCATATCATATGCAACTTGCATATATATTAAAGAGCGTTTATAATAAAAACAGAAAAACACATATCATTCAATTTCCAAGAATATACAGTCAAGATTATTTATTTATTTATTTTTTTTTCTCACAAGATCTCTCATGGACCCCTCTCTTCTAGGTGCCTAAGGGCACTGTTACCAAGTGGACCGACTACATGACAAATGCACGCCTGACGACTAACAAGAGATGAATAGTCCTTAATTTTTAGTTCTTTGACTTGCAAAGGAGACCGGAAATATGCAAGTGGATATTATCGATGTCTATATATGAACAAGAGCGCACCTTATTCTTTTAGAAGGCTTAGTTGCAAGCAACAAGGATAGAAGGTTCCAACCTGCACCCCAGTTCCTATCAAGTATCTGCAAGACATAAAATGAATAAAAACATTCATATAAATAAGGCAAGGAGCATTGGAAGTAGAGTAACTGTTCATTAAGCACATCTTCTTACTTGGAGTCCAGCATTTCTGAAAGTGGAATTCTTGTTGAGAATTTGCAATAGAAATTCCCGTAGGCATGACGGATCATTTCCCTGCAGTTGTACATCAACAAATGTTGGTATTGCAATCATTTCCCTTCTACCAAGCAAAAGATCAATATCTTAAGCATAGTGCATAATGAAATACATATTCCTGGATCCAACGAGCTTTTGCATTGAGGAGCAAAGACTCATAGTTACAAGAAAACTGGGAAAGTCATATACCTTAGTGAGGAATGACTTGAACTTTGTGAAGACTGAAGGATCCATCAGTTCCCGCATCACCATTTTTGCCATCATGAATCCAACACATCTTCACAACAAGCATGAAACAGGGAAAACAAAAATCAAGAAAATCTTCTAGAGATGTTCGACTGAAACCTATGTTGCTTCTCGGATCACATACCGCATGTCAAAAGCAATCATCATTTCTCGCCTCCTTATGTTGTTGTCCAGAGTACTGGCGTTTGAACCATCCTCATAAAAGTCAGCAGCATTTCCTAGGATTCCTACCTGAAAAAGAACAATCTGCACTGATAAAGCAGGCCGAAAGAGAAGGCATAGGATGTGAAGGAAAAAGAAGATCACGTTGTCAAATCAATTATTTTAAGGAGTCAGGATTTGTGCATCTCTCGATATAGCATGCAGCATGGTAATAAAGATGATTGACCTTGGATGCCAATATGTCAACAAAAATAATACTAGCATATGCATCAGCTCTTTCCCATTCGATTAATGATTAAAGCACTGTGCCCTTGTCCGATGTGCAACACTTGGAGGAAGTGGAGTTCATTGAGGGCGTCCAGTGGGTTTCCTCAAGGTTCTACCTTCATGGCTGTCAAGTAACATTTGTTTGTAGATTGCAGTTCTCTTAAATCTTTTCTACAGTAGGCCTCTGTACAATTCATGTTTCCTTAGGCAGCACCCACTTTGGTGCCTTCTGATAAAAAGCTTTAACAAAGATATAATTTGAAAGAGTTTCAAAAAGGTACTAGTGCAGCTGGAGCTACAATGGATGTTGGTACTTTACATACTAAAAGAAGAAACAAAGACATTAAAAAAGTCCAGCCTTCAATTACACACTAAATATCTGGTGCGTACTTTAATATGTCTATCCACTGGGCTTATGTGCACATTCTCCAGCCTCAATTCCGTATGGGCAAGCCCATGGCTGTGCAAGTAATTCACCTGAAGGAATACAACGAAGGCAACATTTTAAAATCCATCATCAATATCCCATGAATCTGTCACCAGAAAATGAGAAACATACCCCAATCAATAGATCTCTCATCAATATCCTAATAAGCCTCAATTGCCGAGAAACTGCAGGTCCTCCAACTGTGTCATCTCCTACCCTCCTAACAGATTCCTCGTCCAAAGCAAGAGTAGCTTCCAAAGTTGGAAGCCAATCCGATTGCTCAAGCCAATGTCTTAAAGAAAAACTTCCATGATACTGCAATGGTTATGAAAGCAAATACAGTCTCAGCTTTGTATATAATAGATTTTCTATTAGAATTCATCTCCGGTTGTGACTAATGAACGATACAAAATCCATAAAATCACTGATTGGAAGACCAAGCAAAATGAGTTAAGTCGGTGTCGCTTATGCATAAAAAAACAATAGTGGCAAAATCTATCTGACACAGTAAAGAACTTACCCCGTGGACTAGGGTAAATGAGACACGACCACTACTTGTAGCTGAAGAGATGTAACCATGAACTTGCATTGAATATGAATGGTACATAAGTCTACGACGAACTAACTTCTTCAAAACCTACAGACAAAAGCAATGAATAGTTATGCCCAAATTTAACCTAAATATGCCAAAATAAAGTTTGATTACAAGCTCTACTGACCTCTATTGCACGCTTACCCCTACGCTGAGCTTGAGCACTCATAAGCCGTCGAAGCACAACTCTTGAGTTATACAACAGACTGCAATTCCATATGACCATGTGTTAACCTCAAGCTCATAGTGAATATCATTATCAACATATCATTGTAAAAATGGTGATGAACTGACCTACTAGTATCCTTCACCATGGCTTCAAAAATTACTTCATCGGCCTACAACAAAGCTAAAATCAATCAACTCCTGTGCATTCAGTTCACATGATTACCCTTTACAATAGATCATAAAGGTACTAGTTTCCTTGTACCCGTCCACCAAGGCCGATGCTGACACTGTCGAGAATCTTAAAATCGGAAATCTTGAACCGCACAACGTGTCCTGATTCTTCCTCCGTAGAAACTGATAAGGCACTTTGAGCACTTCCCTCTGATTCCAAAGGAGCAATCACGTCATTTCTTGACAATGAACACTTCACTCCCGTGCATTTTCTGAGAGCTGAATTGGAATATCTGCCAATGAGCTGCATCGGACTAGGCCTAGAGAGTCTTGTCGACAAATTTAGACTACCACAATAAGCAAATTCAGCGCTCTCCAGACTTGGGCTCACACCAAATCTCGATAACGCCATTGATCAAAGCTCTGAACAATAAGCAACAAAAAGGGACGTCTTAAATATCAGCAACTTCTCCATTAAAATCCATTGATTAAAAAAACAAAATGATAATTTTAGACGCAAAAATAACTGAAAAACTTTGGTTTGTTCTATTGCTCACTAACTGCTCATGTAGTATTTGTTCCTTATTTCCTTTCCTCAACCTCGTCGTTAACAAACAGAACATCAAACTTAACGTTCTAACCTTTTGAACTCAACTTCTTTCCAAAAGAAGCGAATTTCGCATTAATTATGATTCCAGCAATCGAAACAAAATTAACAAAACTAATAAAGCACGAAAAATTCCGCAGAAGAAAACGAAAAACCTGAACTATCCAAAACTTTCGGAGAAATTAATCCAACAACTTGATCATAATTACAAACGCTTCCTCAAATTTCCCGACAATTTTCTCGGCAACCAAACAGTTAACTAGAGAATCGAGAAGAAAATCTAAACTTACCAGAAACGTCGAGAAGAAAGACGGAAGAGTGAAACTGAGGAACAGAGAAATGGAGGTGCGAGTATTTATAGGAGCGGAGGGAAGAGGATGCGTGTGAGCTTTGCGTGGAAGAAAGCGGTGAAAACGTTTCGCCATGGGCTCGTCGCACGTCCACGTCCGCCTTCTCAAATATCTCTCCGAAATCCTAATCATATTTTTTGTGGGCCCGCTGCCACGTGGCGTTCACAGGACGAGCCCCATACGTTAATAAAACTCGTGCTGTTGATCACGATTGGACGGTAATCTCTGTCGTGGGCCGCTAAAAACCAGTTGGTTGTCGGAAAGCTGAAAATGTTCAGCCCAAGCCCAAACCAACGCTGGGTTAACCATGGAGGCCCAGTTTTGTGGTCCAATGGAAAATAAAACCACGTGTAACGACCAGAGCCACTTAGACGGACCCCACATGATGAACGAATCTGATTATTGGGTCCGATCCATTTCAAATGGTCTCCGAAGCACCTGAGTTCTAAACTTCCCTAATCCACCGTCGTTTTGAACCGCTATCGGTGACGTGTCACGTTGTAATTGCTCTTCAACAACGTGATTACCTCATCAACCTCGTAATTAATCGTGAATCTCCGGGGGCAATGTCGTCACATTGAAACAATTTTTGTCCCTCGAACTTAAGTCATCGCCGAGTCTGATTTAATTCTCCGATAAAGGGCAAAAAATAGGTCTTTGTTCCTCCGCTTCCACTCTCTCTCTCTAGCTTTCTCTCTCATCAGACATTTTTATGGTATTCCACATTTATCCTCACCACACCACAAATCTGAATTTCGTTTTCCCCCATAACAACCAACCTCCATTGTCGATCCCAACTTCTCTTGCCGCCCTTTAATCTCCGGCGATCCGTTTTCCTCTGTTCCGACCGCCGGCCGCCGCGTCACTCCGGTTTGTTTTTCTCCGCCGTCGGTCGCTCCGTAGCTAGGGTTTTGAAATTAGGGTTTCATTTTCAGATTCGACCGCTAAGCATCCCTCCGCGTTCGAATTAGGGTTTCCTATTTTGGATTTGGCGGCTCAATTCCCGTTTGAATATTTCAAATTCGGGCGTTTGATTTTGAAATTTGGGATTCGAGGTTGAGCGCTTCTCAGTGATGCCTAGGAGTTCGAGGCACAAGTCTAGCAAGCATAGTTCGAAGGAGGCAAAGGAGTACTCGGATTCGGAGAAGGATTCGGGCGTGAAGGATCGGAAGGGGAAAGAGGAGAGTAGCGGGGTTAGGGTTTCGAAGGATTCGAACTCGAGTGAGAAGCAGAAGATTGATTCGAAGGATGGGAAGGACCTGTATGGCGGTTCGGGAAATGGGGATAATTCGGAGGACTACAGTTCGTCGAAGCGGCGCAAGGAGAGGATGGATGACAGAGCGAGCGATAGGTGGAATGGCGGCGACGATGATCACCGAGGCGGCGGCGAGGGTTCAAAGAAGTCATTGAAGGCCTCAGGGGATTCGAAGAGTAAGAGGAGGGATGAAAGTATGGGAATGTATGAAGAGGCCGAGGTGGTGAAGAAGAGTAGTAGCAGTGGGAAGGGTGAGGGGAGGCATAGGGATAGGGATTCTAGTCGGAAGGAGGGTAGGGATGGTGGGGTGGAGAGAGACAGAGATAAAGAGAAGGACAGGGAAAGGAAAAGTAAGGAGGGGCGAAGCGAGAGATTGGTTGTTGGTGATGAACATCGTTCGGTGGGGAAGCAAGTCGTCGAAAATTCTGGTAAGGTAACTAACTGAATGGTTTATCGGTTTTCTGCAGTTCATACCACGTCTTAAACTTGTCAGTTTTGGGACTCTTAATTTACTAATATTAGTTAATTTTACGGTCTAACGAGCGTTAAGCAGGGTCATCTTTATCGTACTTTGTATTGTATCTGGCATGGCGTCTAGAATAGATTAGTGTAGTGGGAAAATAATATGAGGATTTTTTTCTTTCCTGGAAGGACGGATTTTGTTTTCAAATCTGCTAGCTTTTTTTCATTCATTTTGTTTTTTCTTCGGTTCTTCTTGTTCTGTATTTGTATTTTTCTCGAATATTGTTAATTTATTCTAATTTGCTCTGTTGGTGTTTGGTTGATCTCTTTGTGATAAAAGTATCCTTCAAAATTTGGACATCAACTGGTCGCAATTTTATTTGAATTTCTAACTAAGAAGGGTCTCTATTGTTTGTTTTATCTGATCAATATACAGTAAATGCTAGTTTGCAATTTTCCGTGGTCGTAAAAGGAGATATTTGAAGAATAGGTGGTTTGGAAAAAGATTTAGATGTTCCAATCTGACTTAAGCTAAACTTTATGGTCTTAGCCTTTCTTCGTGTGAATTTAAACATCAGTTCTAGATTTCCCTTAGGTTATAATTTCTTATTGAAGAGGAATGGGGTCAAATTGGAAATCGCAAATAGAGATTCAGATTCTCTAGTTTCATAGTTTGGGTGGGGTAGAGCTGAAGATTAAAAGTTCTTATTGATCGCTGCTTGGAAACCTCAAAGAGTCCTGCCTATTTAAATAATTGCTAAATCTCAAGTTATTTATTTTATTGGAATATGTCAGATTCCGTAGAATGGCAGAAGCAGTATTGCCTTATTCTTTTTTGGACATAAATTTTAGCCTAGATAATTACATATCTGTTTCTCTCTGAAATGTTGGTTTTGCAATTGTGCCTTAGCTGTTGTTTGAGGAAATTGGGCAGGGGGAAAACGTAATTTGCACTTTCCAGTTGTTACAGGAAAGTGAGAAAGGGTGGAGCATATAGGGAAAGGGGGTGTGTTGGGGGGGATCTACTGGTGTCTGGTGGTTTAGATAGGTTCCACTGTTTCGTCTAAGTCAAGTTGTTAATTTTTTTTTTCTTTTTTTTAATAATAATTAATAACTTAGGTCTCATTTCACACAGATGTCATAAATAGGTGCACATTTCTCACAGAATCTTTCAGTTAATCGAATCATTTTGAATTTCTTTTTGTTGATGATGAATTATTATGGATAGTGAATTGGTCTGTGTTACCCAATATCATACGTTTAGTTTTTGGAAACTACATTTTTCTCTATATTTTTTGCTTTTAAAAAGTGGTCAGAGAAAAGTAGGCACGGCCTTTCTTGTATAAAAAAATAAATAAAGAAAGAAAAGAAAGAGAAAACTATTATGATTTTGATGAGTTAATGCTTACTGTTTGAAAGTGATAATCAGTTCCATTGTGCCCTAAATTCTTTAGCATGTTCAACAAGCGGAATTAGTTTTTGGTAGATGCCATATTCGAACCACTCAATTATTCTGGTAGAGAAGAATTTAAAAAAAAAGGCGAGTTGAATAGCTAAGGTTCATGTGGTAAGTGATGACTTTAAACATCTCAATTCAACTATAGAGTGAAAGGGGACTGCTTTCTGTGGATTTAATAAGTAATTTATGGTCTAAAGCTGTAGTGCCTACTGCATACTTTGCAGTAGAAAGTTGAAAACAAATTTTCTGTCGAGGCATCTTGTGCAAGAATTTAACAGTGAGTTGTCACAAGGGCTGTCCTTTTTGGTCATTTCATAGACAGATAATAAAAATATTGTTTTCATAGCAGATCCACTTTGTTCTTGTGCATCATCAAATGTACGCCTATTAATATTAGTCGACTACCTCAGGTGTAACACACCTTTTTCTTACCATATTTGACGTGGAGAGATTTTATTGCCAGGAAAATTCATGCTATCAATACTCTAGAAACACTATTGGGTATGGCTATTAGTCTAACTAATGAAGAGCGCCATGTTGGATTTGAGTGCTGATATGGCATGTCCATATGGAGAATTTTTGTTGGAATGACTATATACTTCCCTTTTACATCTCTTTAAACCCTAATATAAATTAGGGCTAGATATTATTTTACCATTTACATTTGTATTCCTTTGAGAAATGTGGGTTTTAGCTGCGTTTCCCCAAATTTCTTCTGGAACAAGGGGCTATTAGCTCTTCAATTGTGGTGCTCATGATAGTCTTTTCAATTTTTGACAAGGTCATTTATCGTTCCGCCACTAGGGGCTTGGGAGGGAAGGTTTCATTTATGACACCATCTATGGTCCTATTTAAAGATTCTGCTTTATGATTGTTGAGTTATTATTGTTATCGTTTCCTTCTGTCCTAATCCTAAGTAGTTATATGGTTTTTTTAATCAATTTCTTTTTGTTCTACTTTTTGTATGCGATTGTTAGGTTTGTTGTTTTTTTTTGGCTTTGTTGCTGTGGATTCTATCTGTGTGATTTTACTGCCATGTTGCACTCGTGTATCATTATCACTATATTTGTATTTGTTCTTTTTCTACAAATCTGAACTATACATTTTTTTGTCCATGTTGATTTCACTATTCTGTACTTGTGATTTTGCTGCCACTGTATTTTCCATATTGTTTTCCTTGATTTTACATTAACAGAATATTAATGTCCCCCCCCCCCCCCAAAAAAAAAAAAAACCAAAAA